AACTTTAACTTCTAACCTATAGTCGACACGAGTACTATAATACTGAAGATTTTTTTTACCAAACGTGGAAGGTTAGCGACCTTGACGGCCATTAAAATACCGGATGTCGGCATCCACGGTGTTACGTAATAGCAGGATTTGACGTGGTCATATGCAAGAGCACTCAATGACTGTCGGTTAAATTATAACCTCCGGTTAAATGATAAACTTCCTGTTGAATGTTAACTGCCGGTTATATGATAACTTCAGGTTAAATTATACATTAAGATTCAATGAAGACAACCGGTTCAATGATTATTGCCGGTTAAATTATGAGTACCTTTTACAAAATAAATATTGAAATAAATAACTTCTGGTATTAATCGACTGTTAAACTGTAGTTGCCACTTATGTAATAACTGTTTAACCTTAACTTCGGTCTAACGATTTTCATAGGTGAATTGATCGCAAAGATCCTTATAGTTCCCTACACTAACAGTACTACTCGTCTAACTCGTCACAAGCCATCAAGCACCGTCAATCAAGCGTTGAATTGATACTCTCTAACAACAACATGTAGATGATGTAGTGTCGAGGTATGCGCATGCGTGTCACGGTGCTCCCGACTTCCGGACTCAGCTACGATGAAACAGGCGGTAAAAAAAAGTGTGTAGGAGAATAGTTGTTGTAGACATGTTTTTGTGAGGGGGGACAAACAGTCGTCAACCCGGGGTCGGGGGTGGAGGGGTGGGTTGGTCGGCACCACGTGACATTACGGTCTGTCGTTTGTCAGTTGGTGGGGAGATAACGATGTGGGGTAACCCGGGGTGGGGAATGGTATGTCAGGGTTAGGGGCGTTGGTGATGGGGGTATGTCAGGGTTAGGGTCGTTGGTGAGGGGGGGTATGTCAGGGTTAGGGCCGTTGTTGAAAGGGGGGGGGGGTATGTCAGTGTTAGAGTCGTTGATGGGGGGGGGGGTTATGTCAGGGTTAGGGGCGTTGAGGGGGGGAGGGGGTATGACAGCGTTAGGGTTGTTGGTGGGGGGGGGGGATATCAGTATTAGGGTCAGTGGGGGGGGGGGGTATGTCAGTGTAGGGTCGTTGGTGGGGGAAGGGGGTTATATTAGTGTTAGGGTCGTTGATTTGGGGGCGGGGGGTGTTATGTTAGTGTTAGGGTTGAGTTGTATGAAGGGGTGAGGGGTGGGTGTGACAGAGCTAGATTTGTCCGGAAGGAATATCAGGGTTAGTTTTTGGAGAAGGTTAGGGTAGAGCGTACCGGGGTCAGGGTAGTATGGTAGGTTAGAATTAGGTTAGTGGTTGGTATAATACCATTTATTTTAGGATTAAGTGTCGGGGTTATGGGTAAGGGTTATGGTGACGAAGATGTGACTTATAAATCATCTTATCTCTAGGTAACGATTAATACATTGTGATTTGGGAAGGGTTTAGAATGCGGTAGGCCTACTAGGGTGTTAGATTGCTGTTGCCCAAATGTTTGTTTAAGATTTGTATGACTTACGTTTTGTAATTGTTTTTCCACGATAAGCTTGTGTAAGCAAACTTTAGAATTCTGAACTAGGATTTACTTCACACATCAAAAAGTCATATTTCACAACACCATTGAAATAAACTTGGCAGCAATTAAATTCAACCATATATAACGGGAAACGCGAGGCTTAATAGTGCGGTTTAAACTTGCAGATTGCTAATGGAGATTATCGCTAATCCGATACAATAACGTAGGAACACGGGTCGTAACACTGACCTTTGACCCAAACCTCTATATGTCACCTTTAAATCCAGATTACACTTAACTTTCCCTGGATTAAGTTTTTTTTTTAAAAAAAAACACACATGTAGAAACAGGGCTATTCCCAGACACAGCACTCTGAGACTTTAAAGTACCGAGGTTCTCAAATTTCCTTTGTTGACTGTTCTCTAAATTTGCTGTTAGTTCCTAAAAGCTGCTTTTGTTTTTTCCTCTATAATAAATAAGAAGAAATATTTTAATAAAAAATACAATAGATCCAAAGACTTTGGTATAGGGCACCACTACAAAGATCTGCCTCGTACAGTTTTAAGTATAGGTAAAGACTATAGATCATGAAAAGAGACACATATGAAAGTTATTTTTATAATGTTGTTTTTACACTTCATAAGTAGGCCTTGGAGTAGCAAGCTATTCTTTTACTAATTTTTGTGTGTGTCTGTCTTGTAGCCTAAATCGATTAAAACAGCACGTTAAAAATAACGTGTGAGGTTATGATTAACCCGTTAACATCCGAGGTGATGATTTGAGATCAGGGGTGATGTTGTTCGCCGATGTTGTCGTCAAGTCGAACGGCCTAATGTGACTGTGACTTGAATGTCAACCACGTCTCAGATAAGTCAACTGGGGGATTAAAATATTTCTCGGTGGGGGAAACCAGGTGATAAGCTGGGTATCATTGGAGGGGGGGGGGGTGGGGTGGGGTGGTCTATCATGACGGTTGGATATGAATAGGTTGAGCAGGGGATGGAGGGGTGGGGTGGGAATCTCTAAGACCGCACAACATAGTTATCTATTATTCATGTTATCGTTCGTGTTATCCTGTGTGTTATGTTATCGTATATGTTATCGTATATGTTATCGCCTAGCCGAAGACATGAGAGATGATTAGCCCCAACAGGTCGCTCGCTTATCTTTGGTCACGTGACCGATGGCCGTCGGTGCGCGGGCTGGCATAGCGCATCAATAACATGTACTCACCAGCGGGTCAAGGGGCGAGTGGTGCATGACCGCACGTGCGGGAGGTTGGGAATGGGGGGGAGTCTGCTATTGGTGAGGTTATCCTACTTGAGATGTCTCACCGTGATCTGGTGTTGTGGACTTCCATTAGCCGTACCATCATATAATCAGCGTCACTGTATACTAGTTCAGTTATTCTACTTCAGGCTGTCAGCATTGCTGCAGCTATTGTGGCTGTGGCAATGGCTGTTTCTATGGATGTAGATGTAATAGTCATCCTAATACTATAGTACGGTGTGGTCGAGTGGTTTGGCGTTTGATTGAATTATTTAACAAATGTAAGTTTGAATCTGTAGGTGGTGCACGTGCACAGAGCACTAGTGGGTGCTAGTGGGTGCTAGTTGGTGCTAGTTGATGCCAGTGGGTGCTACTGGGTGCTACTGGGTTCAAGTGACTGCAAGTGGGTCCTAGTGGGTCCTAGTGAGTGCTAGTGGGTGCTAGTTGGTGCTAGTGAGTGCAAATTGGTGCTAGTGAGTGTAGTGGGTGCTAGTTGATGCCAGTGGGGTGCTAGTGGGTGCTAGTGGGTGTAGTGGGTGCTAGTTGATGCCAGTGGGTGCTAGTGGGTGCTAGTGGGTGTAGTGGGTGCTACTAGGTGCTAGTGGCTGCTAAGTGGGCCCTAGTGGGTGCTAGTGGGTGCTTTACTGTGTGTGATGTCACGGGACACGCTGACGTAATACGTGCCTGACGCAAGCTGCATATAATGCCGCACCGGTACATGGCACCGTACATCCAACCACACGACCATTGTAACAAAAGACTGAGGAACCACCACATTCAGCGTCAGCGAGTTACACAGGAGATTCAGTGGCTATATGAAGACAGTGCTGGTGAACGATTGACGGGTATCGAACTCTTTTAGACAATTAACAGTGTGTGAGAGACATAGGGAGACAGTGAAGGCTGAGAACACCGGTACTAGAAAAATTTGCCACAAAGGGAAACTTAAATTTAGCTTTTGAAAAATTCGAAAGTCAATGAACAAATACAGAACAATCAATGTTTGAGAATCGGTTTAAAACTTTGCTATTCAACCTCAAATATATATATATATATATATATATATATATATATATATATATATATATATATATATATATATATATATATATAAATATATATATATATATATATATATATATATATATATATAAAAATATATATATATATATATATATATATATGGGGGGGGGGGGCAGTGTGTGTGTGTGTGTATTTGTTCTTTCTAATCTTTATGCAAACGTGTATGGAACATCTATAAAATTATGAGTAGGCCTATAATATATATAATATATATATATATATATATATATATATATATATATATATATATATATATATATATATATATATATATATATATATATATATATATATATATATATATATATATATTCTAGTTGCCACCGATAAGAAATTACAAGTATAACAGTCAGAATGACGGAAAGGGAATGCTGAGGTGGGGTGGGAAATCAGCTGTTTGGGGAGGGGGGGGGGGTAAGTGTCGGCCGGAACAACAGGCGTTGAGTGAATCATGATTTACGTGCGTTGTTGGCATGATCAAATTTGGCCTGGGTGACAGGAAGGTTGTCCTCGCTTATCGCCCCTGCTCCAGGCCGGCCGTGGCCGCCGTCTGGAGAGCTTTGGTCAACGTTGTTGGGTAAACACACTCCAAGTGTGACAGGTTCCTCCCTGACATGCCACTTCACGGTGGGGGGGGGGGGGGGGGGCGTGGGGAAGGGGGGAGTATGTATATTTAGTAACAGTTGAAGTGTATGTGTGTTGGGCTGATGTTGGAATATAGGAGTAGATTGGTGGAGTGGTGTGGTTGGGGAGTTGTGGGAGGTGGGTTGTGTGTGCGGGAGGTGGGTTGTGTTGTGGGGGAGGGGGAGGGGGAGGGGGGTTGGGTGTGCGGGAGATGGGTTGTGTGCGGGAGGTGGGTTGTGTTGTGGGGGAGGTGGGTTGTGTTGTGGGGGAGGTGGGTTGTGTTGTGGGGGAGGTGGGTTGTGTTGTGGGGGAGGTGGGTTGTGTTGTGGGGGAGGTGGGTTGTGTTGTGGGGGAGGTGGGTTGTGTTGTGGGGGAGGTGGGTTGTGTTGTGGGGGAGGTGGGTTGTGTTGTGGGGGAGGTGGGTTGTGGGGGAGGTGGGTTGTGTTGTGGGGGAGGTGGGTTGTGTTGTGGGGGAGGTGGGTTGTGTTGTGGGGGAGGTGGGTTGTGTTGTGGGGGAGGTGGGTTTTGTTGTGGGGGAGGTGGGTTGTGTTGTGGGGGAGGTGGGTTGTGTGTGCGGGAGGTGGGTTGTGTTGTGGGGGAGGGGGAGGGGGGGTTGGGTGTGCGGGAGATGGGTTGTGTGCGGGAGGTGGGTTGTGTGTGCGGGAGGTGGGTTGTGTTGTGGGGGAGGGGGAGGGGGGTTGGGTGTGCGGGAGATGGGTTGTGTGCGGGAGGTGGGTTGTGTTGTGGGTGAGGTGGGTTGTGTTGTGGGGGAGGTGGGTTGTGTTGTGGGGGAGGTGGGTTGTGTTGTGGTGAGGTGGGTTGTGTTGTGGGGGAGGGGGAGGGGGTTGGGTGTGCGGGAGATGGGTTGTGTGTGCGGGAGGTGGGTTGTGTGTGTGTGTGGGAGGTGGGTTGTGTTGTGGGGGAGGGAAGGGGGTTGGGTGTGCGGGAGATGGGTTGTGTGCGGGAGGTGGGTTGTGTGTGTGAGAGGTGGGTTGTGTGCGGAAGGTGGGGTTGTGTGTGCGGGAGGTGGGTTCTGTGTGCGGGAGGTGGGGGATGTGTGTGGGAGGGGGTTGTGTGTGTGGGAGGTGGGTTGTGGGAGATGGGTTATGTGTGTGAGAGGTGGGTTGTGTGTGTGGGAGGGGGTTGTGTGTGTGGGAGGTGGGTTGTGTGTGTGGGAGGGGGTTTGTGTGTGTGGGAGGGGGTTGTGTGTGTGGGAGGGGGGGAATGTGTGTGGGAGGGGGTTGTGTGTGTGGGAGGTGGGTTGTGGGAGATGGGTTATGTGTGTGAGAGGAGGGTTGTGTGTGTGGGAGGGGGTTGTGTGTGTGGGAGGTGGGTTGTGTGTGTGGGAGGTGGGTTGTGTGTGTGGGAGGGGGTTGTGTGTGTGGGAGGTGGGTTGTGTGTGTGGGAGGGGGTTTGTGTGTGCGGGAGGGGGGTTGTGTGTGCGGGAGGTAGGTTGTGTGTGTGGGAGGTGGGTTGTGTGTGCGGGAGGTGGGTTGTGTGTGTGGGAGGGGGTTGTGTGTGTGGGAGGTGGGTTGTGTGTGCGGGAGGTGGGTTCTGTGTGCGGGAGGTGGGGGGTGTGTGTGGGAGGGGGTTGTGTGTGTGGGAGGTGGGTTGTGGGAGATGGGTTATGTGTGTGAGAGGTGGGTTGTGTGTGTAGGAGGGGGTTGTGTGTGTGGGAGGTGGGTTGTGTGTGTGGGAGGTGGGTTGTGTGTGTGGGAGGGGGTTGTGTGTGTGGGAGGTGGGTTGTGTGTGCGGGAGGTGGGTTGTGTGTGTGGGAGGGGGTTGTGTGTGTGGGAGGTGGGTTGTGTGTGCGGGAGGTGGGTTTGTGTGTGCGTAGGGGGGTTGTGTGTGCGGGAGGTAGGTTGTGTGTGTGGGAGGGGGTTGTGTGTGGGAGAGGTGGGTTGTGTGTGCGGGAGGGGGGTTGTGTGTGCTAGAGGTGGGTTGTGTGTGGTGGAGTGTGGTGGGAGGGTAGATGTGTATTGGTAGATGTCATTAGTTGGGGAGATTAGACAGTGGTGTGGGGGGGGGGGGGTCTGTTAGAATGCGTGTAGACGTGAATGTGCGGGACTTTGATTTGTGAGGGTATGATGGTGTTGTATATGTGACTCTCATTAAAAGTCTCATTTATTAAACGTGTGAGCGAAGTTTGCTGCGCTGAAATTAACTAGGAATTTTATTTTTATAGAGAAATGAAGCGGGTAAAAATTGCAATAAATGTATTGACTTCATTATTAGGTGTCGCGCGTCAACTAATTTCGAGACGATAAGATTTATTCATCAGATTTTGTCTCGCCATTGTTTTTATTAGGAATTCATATATATAAATATATATATATATATATATATATATATATATATATATATATATATATATATATATATATATATATATATATATATATATATATATATATATATATATATATATATATATATATATATACTGTAAATTCGTTTCGTACAGCTGTAAAATACTTCGGTTTCAAACGATAATTGAAATTGTGTAAACGATGGTGATAACATAATCATATCCCGTTCGTGTCCAACATTATGCCCAGCCACCTTTGTATCCCTAACGTAAGTTAGATACCCATCAGAGCTGAGTGGACTCAGGAATGTCCCGCTGATTTCGAACCCGGATTCGAACTCGAGACTCTCGGATTAGAAGTCTGGCGCTCTAACGCTAGACCGCGCTGTCCCACACTTTAATTTTTTTTTCGCTGCAAGAAGAGCTAATATAAATTTTGGATTTACATAAACGTAACGTGCCGATTTAATGATTTTGAAAATTTGTAGCCTCCATTTATTTTAAAACATATTAGTTAACTCATTTAAAGGTTTCCTTTTTATGTTTAATTTAATATTTTATTCTTTAAGGTAACTACGAAAATGTTATGCAAATATTTTACAACAAACATATTTTTAACGTATTTTTATAATAGCATTTTTTTCAATATATGTGAATATCTACATTTTTGTTTTTTTTTTACATTTTTGTGAACAAAATTTGAGACTGTCTTCCTTGGAGTTGTCGTAAAAGTAAATGGGAAGTAATTCTTGATTTGCTTTCGCTATTGTAATGGAAACAAACTCGTCTTAAATTTCCCATGGTTCCTCAAAAAATATTTACAGCAACGACACACGTATATTAGCAGTGTCAGTCTCATTTTCCTAGTCTTCCCTCCAATGACACACCCATGCACAAAAAAAAACTGACACAAAAAAAAACTATGACACAAAAAACAATGACAGCGTATTGAAAGATCAACACGTCACAATAACAATCGAAGTGTGATACGTGACACATGTTACGTGACACGTGATATGTGGCAGGTAGTTTTTGTAATGTCAACACTACCTGCCCGCTGCTGTTTGTTTACAGCCGTTTCTCGCCCGGCTACACCTGCCGCCCGTGTTTTAGCCCAGGCTCGCCCCAACAATCTGCTGGTGTTCGCTTATCGCTGGGTCAGCTCGGCTCTTGACGCCTCGTGGGAGATTTATGGCGAAAATTGGAATGGCTGATTGTGTAATCAAGCCATACACTCCACGTACGTCCGTCAAGCCATACCCTCCCCCCCCCCAGTATGTCTATCTAGCCATACACCCCCACCCCCGTATGTCTATCTAGCCATACACCCCCACCCCCGTATGTCTAGCCATACACCCTCACCCCCCGTATGTCTATCTAGCCATACACCCCCACCCCCCTTATGTCTATCTAGCCATACACCCCCCCCCGTATGTCTATCTAGCCATACACTCCCACCCCCCGTATGTCTATCTAGCCATACACCCCCACCCCCCGTATGTCTATCTAGCCATACACCCCTACCCCCTGTATGTCTATCTATCCATACACCCCCACACACCCCCCCCCCTTATGTCTATCTAGCCATACTTCCCAGCATGTCCGTTAAAGCCATACACCAAGCACTACCCCCCCCCCCCCAGTATGTCTGAGTAGTAGCCATACCCCACCCCTTCGTCTTTCTGAGTAGCCATACCCCACCCCTCCGTAAGTCCCCCACATAAGTCCCCCGCGTAAGTCCGCCAACTTCTCCCCTAAACCATTAACTCCTGCATGTCTGGTTAGCCTACATGTGCCTATCAGATCCATACTCGAGACTTTTGGGAAAACAATCGTGAGTTCTATCGCTCGACCACACCTTCCTCTAAATTCTTCATTATATCGAATATTCTTCAATTTCATCACAACTGTTAAGCCTGTTGGCGAATGAATATAAGCTGACAAACTACCAAAGCTATCCCCCGACTATCATTAACACTTTCAGATATCCGCCATTAAACTCTAGCAATAAAAAAAGTTTAGTATCCTCTAACCACGACCATAATAAACTTTTATTTCAGTTCCCGTGTCCACACATTTAGGCGGGCAAGACATTTAATCTCTTTATTTAGATATATTGACCTAATTAAACTAATTGCTCAACTAGGCTGTAAAGCTTGATTGTTGTTTTAGATATGTGACGCCAATATATCTCAGTGGCAGTAAAACTATGAAAATGTCGTGTCATAGGCTGGGATTATAAATGTCATGCGTCATATGCAGTGTTGATAGATGTCATACGTCATACCCTGTGTAAATGAGTCATGTATTGGGGCATCAACGTCAGGAGTTGTAACAAATTGATATGGGTGAACTGTTTTCGGATTTAGCATTTGGATATCTAACTCTCCTTTAGGCAGGTGAAGTAGAGTTTGTCGATGTGGTACATTTTGAGGTGGGGGGGGGGAGGTGGGCGATGTGATATGACGAGATAACCGGACTGTTCTTTAGAACTAGATATCCGTGTTTCTTTCAGACATTTTTTTATTTCTCCGGGGGAAGGGGAGGATCTTGAAAACTTTCGGAGATAGGGAGGTGGACTTAATTTTTTTTTTTGAGTGGGGGGGGGGGGGGGGAGACACTAGATACTAGATATAGCTGAGTCTTTAGCATACTTGCAGGAGCCGCTTGCATATGTTGAGAATGTGTGCACATTTGATCCAAGACACTGTCGAAAGATGTATGGATTAAGTCAATTGTGGTATGCATGTAAGGATTAAGTCACTCTTTACACAGACCTGTTGAGTCATGAGCCTGCGAGTCATGTATTCTGACGCTTAAGTTTATGTGCTTACATTGAAGCGACGGTAGTGCAAATGCCAATGGTATTTTCAATGCTAATTCCTTTTTCGTTTTTTTTTTAGCGCAATTTCCATACTGGACAATTGCGATTATTAACTCGTCATTTCTGGATGTGTGTACGCAGCTTTAAGTCGTATCTCCTCCTCAACGAAGCAATATCGAGGACTAGTTCCAAAAGCAAATATGTTAAGCAAGTTCCGAAGATGATTGTGGGCCAAAAAAAATTCCCGGAATTCCTTCCTGCATTTCCCGGAAAAGCCAAAAAAACTCGAAAAAATGCAGTTTTTGGCCCATATCTCGGCAACCAGACCACTTAGCGACTTGAAACATTTACCAATCGATTCCTGCCATAATTTAGAACAATATTGCCGAAGAAAGTTTTCAAAAATACCCTTTCGTTCGGTCACAATTTTTTTTTAAAATTACATAAACCCCAACAAACAGATCGTTCTCCTAGCTTGAACGCACCCCAGCATTATACGCCTTTGTGATCACTATCTATTTTTAGATAACATAAGGAAATTGCGCTTAAATTGTCACTAGACTTTTTATTAACTTGTTTTTGTTTTGTTTTTTTTTTGTTTTTTTTTAGCCATTGTAAAATTTTAACGCCTACGTAGTCCGTACAAATGTTGAGGTTATTTAGTGCAAATAGGCAGCGACTGTCTTTAATGAAAGTACTTATTTTTATAGTGAGTGTAAAAATCCCATTTAAGATGTTTCGCTATGACAAACTGTAGTTCAGTCCTGACCAAGGCGTCATGACGTAACTACCATTGTAGTCATTACCAGCAGGCGATATCATAGCAATAAAGCTATTCAAAAAGTAACTGTGTAATTTAACTTGGCTAAATACTAACTGTTAATTGTTTACATGTGCGAACTTTTGAGTCAGTACATCTGCAGTTAATATTATCGGGAATTTCCACAGATTACTTACATAGCTTTCGCTTTTGTTTTGTCATAGGAATATTCATGAGTTAGGTTAGGACTAGGAGGGTATACAATAGATCTAGGGAGTTGGCTGTAGCAATAATTCACTTTACGTTGGTTATTAAATTCGTAGTGTGTAAAGATTTAGGAACGTGTATGTGTGTGCACATGTGATTATTCTCATACATAAAACAGATAACCTTTCCTTTTTCTTCGACAACACAAAAGATAAGCTGCAAATGCTAATGTATGTAAATAAAGAAACTGAACGAAGCTAGGATCGAGGGTAGCGCTGGGGTCACAATACAATCAACTTTGTTGTAATCTAACATGGTGCTGTCCCCTGCAGTAGTGTTAACACAGTTGCGGCCCCTTGTTTCCGGGTGAAACTGAACGTGGTAATGTCCCCTTTGTTGATCTAAGACCAGTTATACTGCATTGTGGTTTATGGCTGTGTTGTTGTCGAGCCTGTGTTCGTGTGTGACAACAAGTGTGTGCGATCGTGGTGTGTTCGTCCTCATTGATTCACGTGGCAGGTGCTGTAGAGTAGAGCTGTATTGTTCTAGGATCGTGTTGTTTGTGTGTTGGTGCTAGTGTGTAACATGCATATACAGCAGCACGTGTGAGAAATTAAATGTACGGGTTGAATAGATTTCTTCAAGCTATTCAGGTAACAATCATTGGTTGTGTATGTGTTAACATAGCTTGTATCGTTTAAATACTATTCTCATGTTAACGTAAGTGCGCGATTTATCTTATTTGGAAACTGGAGTTGGTTGAAAGAAAAAAAAAATCTCTTGATAATGTGACGTCAGAATTATGACGTCACAGTTAACATGACCTCATATCTCAAGTGACTGCATTACCTTCTAAAAACGTAACCATGACGTCACGTTCAGTTATTTAAATGATTATACAGCTGCCTCACGTGACCAGTACTCACCACAACACACGTGTGAGTTCAGAGGTAGATCCCATTCATCGTCCTAAATTCTGGCATTAATCTGTAGGTCTTTTAACATTTACTCATTCTGAACCGTATTCATCCTAAATGTGACGTGTATCACCTCAAGTCACAAAAATACCACTACAAGTCACAACCTAAACCTAACACAACCTACAGCCCAGATATCACAACCTACAGCCCAGGTATCACAACCTACAGCCCAGATATCACAACCTACAGCCCAGATATCACAACCTACAGCCCAGATATCACAACCTACATCCCAAAGCCCACTACCTACAGCCCAGATATCACAACCTACAGCCCAGATATCAAAACCTACAGCCCAGATATCACAACCTACAGCCCAGATATCACAACCTACAGCCCAGATATCACAACCTACAGCCCAGATATCACAACCTACAGCCCAGATATCACAACCTACAGCCCAGATATCACTACCTACAGCCCAGATATCACAACCTACAGCCCAGATATCAAAACCTACAGCCCAGATATCACAACCTACAGCCCAGATATCACAACCTACAGCCCAGATATCACAACCTACAGCCCAGATATCACAACCTACAGCCCAGATATCACAACCTACAGCCCAGATATCACAACCTACAGCCCAGATATCACAACCTACAGCCCAGATATCACAACCTACATCCCAGATATCACAACCTACATCCCAAAGCCCACAACCTACAGCCCAGATATCACAACCTACAGCCCAGATATCACAACCTACAGCCCAGATATCACAACCTACAGCCCAGATATCACAACCTACAGCCCAGATATCACAACCTACAGCCCAGATATCACAACCTACAGCCCACATCCCAAAGCCCACAACCTACAGCCCACATCCCAAAGCCCACAACCTACATTCTGCAGCATCAGTCACTTATAATCTCCAATATATTTTTTTTATTACAGATCCACCCAGTACAACTCAACATTTGCGATAACTTGAAACCCCTGAATAACCCAGGCCCCTGCAGGCTCTGTCTTTAGTGACGTCCAGATCCCTGCAAACCCTGTCAACTCTGTGACGTCCAGAAACCTGCAGACACTGTCTTCAGTGACGTCCAGATCCCTGCAAGCCCTGTCAACTGTGACGTCCAGACACCTGCAGACACTGTCTTCAGTGACGTCGGGACCACTTCAGCCACAGTCACCTGTATGACAATCAAACCTGTGCAGGAACTACCATATTTGTGACGTCCGGAACCCTGAAGGAACTTCACCTGTATGACGTCCTATTCCCTGCAGGCTCTACACCTGTGTGACGTCCTGTAGCCACCACACACGTCTGTGTCCCCACACTGCGGGTATGTTTGTGTTATCATTATCCGTGTTGACTTAAGCCCACTTGCGGACTTTATGAACATGACGCTAGTTAAGTCATAAAACTGCTGTCTCGGTACCTGGCTTTACGATACAAATAGCTCCCACTTGCGCTTTTACAATCTCTGTCTTCACGGCCTGGTATAATCTCGGCTGGCGTCCAGGAATGGTTCTAGGGCATTCTGCAGAATGGTTGTAGGGCATTCTGCGGAATGGTTGTGGGGCATTCTGCGGAATTGTTGTGTGGCATTCTGCGGAATGGTTGTGTGGCATTCTGCGGAATTGTTGTGGGGCATTCTGCGGAATGGTTGTGGGTCATTGCTGTTCTGCGGAATGGTTGTGGGTCATTGCTGTTCTGCGGAATGGTTGTGTGGCATTGCTATTCTGTGGAATGCTTTTGGACATTGTTATTATGCGGAATGCTTGTGGGTCATTGCCATTCTGTGGAAAATTGTACTTCTGCGGAGATGTGTAAATTTGCGGAATATTCTAGATTTGTGATTGCAGCTGGGGTGTTGGGGGGGGGGAGATAGTAAAGGAGAGTGTAGGAGATGTGAGTTTGTGTGTGGGGAGGGCGGGGTTATACAACGTGTAGGGGAATAGAGATGGCGTAGGAGGGGAGAGGAGTTGGTGTGAGGGAAATGGGGCAAGTGGTGGTTGTGTGGTAGAGGGCTAGCAGCTGGTGTGTGAGGGTGTGTTAGTGTGTGGGAGATGTGAGTTTGTGTGGGTGGGTTATGCAACGTGTAAAGGGATATAGATGGTGTGGGAGGTGGTTGTAGTTCGTGTGAGGGAAATCAGGTATATGGTATGTGGTGGTTGTGTGGGAAAGGACTAGCAGCTGGTGTGTGGGGATGTATTAGTGTGTGGGAGGACGAGGTGCGTGTAGTAGGTACCGTGTGTGTTCTGTGTGTGTTCTGTGTTGGTCTCCGACCCACCCAGCACTAAAACGAAACAACTGAGAAAATAGAATCTTCCTGCAGACTATCTCCCGTCTTGAGCAGAGCCCCAGAGAAAGAGATTGCAGGGCTGTAGCAGGGGGTGTGATAGATAGCACCCTGACCCCGGCGTGTGGGGTTGATGGGGAGCTGGTTTATTTCCAGGGGGGGGGGGTGTTAGGGGGAGGAAGTGCGAAAGAATTAAGCGTGAAAGGGTTAAACAATGAAGCATTGAAGCGGTTTGTGAGAGAATGAAGTGTGGGGTGAAAATGTGTGAGTCGATGCAGTGTGGTGGGAGGAAGTGGGAGGTATTAAAGATGACCACCAACGTAGTGTTTAATTAATAATCATAACTGTCTAGTAACGCCCCTTTCAAAAATGATATCAGCCCCCCCCCCACCTTACCATCCTCAACATAAACTACGCTAAAGGGGGCTATATTGTCAAAGACCCTTTTTTTACGATCCCTATCTTCTAGATCCGTTTTTGTTTGTGTGTGACATTTCCTAGGTCTCTTATGTATTCGATGAAGTAAGTTCGGGCATATCGCTTTGCTGGTTTAGGAGCCTTTTGATCGTGGCCTTTTTGACGCGGTACAGATTCAATTCCCATTATATTATGGCTCCCTTCAGCTGCATCAACACTGCAATGGAATAAAATATTGAGTGTATAATTTTCGTCTTATACAGAATACAATCACCAGTCGTTGTTGACAGATACACACACACTCACACACTCACACACATACTCACTCACACACTCACACACTCACTCACTCACACACTTACTCACATACTCACTCACTCACACACTCACACATACACTCACTCACTCACACACTCACTCACTTACACATACACTCACTCACTCACACACTCACTCACACACTCACTCACACACTCACTCACACACACTCACTCACACACTCACACACTCACCCACACACTAGCATACTCACACACACTCACACACACACTTACTCACTCACTCACATACTCACACAGGTGTCATTACCCCCTCCCAGCCCCCAACCCCACACAGCGTTTTAAAAAAACCCTTCTATCTCGTGCACCAGACGACCAGACGGACTCTAAGCCCGACCCTCAGGCCCGACCCCCAGGCTCGACCCCCAGGTGTTCCCAGACCTATTACTTTTACCTGACGTCTCCAGGTGAAATAAAACACGCGATACATTTCTCTGGCGCTCCCTCCCAGATATCCGGGGACAGAGATGCATTGTCCTGGCACCGTCCCGTGGGGCCGTGCACTGTTAAAATTTTAACTCGCAAACTCCTGCAGATTTTAACCATCACTGTTAAAATTTTAACTCCAACTCCTGCAGATTTTAACCATCTGTGTTCAAATTTTAACTTGGAAACTCCAGCACATTAAAATTTTAACTCGCTATTTTCTGCAGATATTAACTATAACTGTTAAAATTTTAACTCGCTAACTTCAACAGATATTAACCAGCGCTGTTAAAATTATAACTCCCATGGCCTTACATCGAAAAACCCCAACTGCTGTAGTATAACGAAATAAATAAAAAAAAACAATCGAAAAATTATCGAGTCGTCTCGCAGAAAGTAATAAAATTTTATTACTAAATTTAAATATACTTGACCTGTCTATTACCATAGACTTAAACTACAAAACTTTGACCTACTATATATATATATATATATATATATATATATATATATATATATATATATATATATATATATATATATATATATATAATGTATATGTATATGTATATGTATAATATACTCGTGCAATATAGGACTTGTTTAATAAAGTAGTTAATAGGGTTTGATTCCCAAGGTTTATACATTTTCTATTGTCTTTTGCATTGCAGTTTACGTTAATGAGATTCATTTATTCAGCAATCTTATTAAATTTTAATTCACCATCGTCTTAGACACGAACCGCTATCAAGGGGCATAACTAGGTTTGCATTAACGCATCATGTTTCCAATATTTAGTCTAACTTAGCCGGTCGACCGGCTTTTTTTTTATCAACACTCACGGAGACCGTGGCTTAACCGGTCAACAAGATACAAGTAGTGCCGGCCTTACCGCACTAGAAAGTTTACAACACCCTCCACCCCTTCCCCTCCCCCCAGCCCTGATTTGCATATATTCATCAGTGTTTGTTACCTCCAAAGTCTTCTCGCGTGGTGCAGAAAACAAAAGCTGCCTACGTCATAGATTACCCTGTCGTGTCGTGTGTACTACGTCATTAAAATTCGTGTTCCTGCAATAAAATGGATTAGTCGCTTATCTATGGACAGATTTCACACACTGGGCTATCGCCTTTTGCCAAATGTAAGATGGCCATTGTTTTCTCCAAAAATTTACTGTAAACTTTGGAAGTTTTCTTATAATGGTTCTTCTTCGCCTTTTTCAACACTTAGTGATGTATCAGCCACTTACAGCATCCTACCGTGCTTTTCTAATGTAATACTTAACACATACTTATTCTGCTCCAATTTGAGTTTTTGGGTTCTCTTATTCAGGGTTTCTTTCATACATTTTGCCCCGGGGGGTGAGGGTAAGAACTCGAAACTCCGAGGGTGGGGGGATTTTTGGATATTCCTGTGGGGCGGTCACTTGTGGACAGTGGCTAAAAGTATACTCTCACTACACATTATCTAAAAGTATCAATGTTAAATTGTGGAGTAAAATTGTGCAATACCCTATTGGCAAAGACATACAAAAAAGCTCAAATGGGGATGGATAGGACACACCTTGCGTAAATCAACTAGCTACATTAGCAGACAGGCACTTTATTCGAAAACCCAAGGAAAGAGGAAAGTAGGTAGGCCAAAAACTTGGAAAATGTCAGCTGTAGAAAAAACAGAAGCATTCGGAATGAGGAATCGCCCATAACTGAGTACGATTGAGATGGGTGGATGGGTCCCTATGCTCCACTATGGGTCACAGGAATGATGATGATGACACTTAATCTATCACAAATAACAATACACTAACAGCAAATACTCCCTAACTCACGTTCGCCGTACTCACAAAATACCTGCCCTATGTTCTAAGTATTATGTCAATATTCGCACTTCCCTGAACAACATATTGACATTTCAAAAACACGATGGTTGAACGGTCAATGTCCGAACGCAAGTTAAATTTCGGACATTGGCCGGTCTTATTGGCCACTTCGCGAACTAGATGTTTTCGACCATAGGTATGACGTACGAGCAAGAAAGTGACGTTAATTTTTGGCAGGAATCGAGAATCTTTACTTGTGTTTTATGTCTGAAGAATTGACTCCACACCGGTAACGATAAGGTTCAAGCTGAAGTTTTGTATCACAATTTTTTAAAGAATTCTAAAATGGAAGCGAAAAAAGCTTCAAGGCACCTTTCTGTCAGCAGCCGCCATTAAAAACCCCAACGGAAACCTGTGTCAGCCATCTTATAAAAGCTGACACGTCATTAAGGGGACGCAATCTCACCCGTGGACGTACCCCGGTGTTAGTGTCAGGGGGCGGGGCCCAGAGAGTGGTAGCAACCGCTAAAGGTTGTGTGTGGGTGTGGGGGTGTGAGGCGTTCAAGACAGCCGAGTGGTGTAAGTGTCAATTAAAGACGAAACGTTCCATATGGCTGTTGATAATTAGCTACTATAATTAGGTTTATATAAGCATGTATATAATTATAAGTATATATATATATAAGTATATATATATATATATGTATATATATATATATATATATATATATATATATATATATATATATATATATATATTGTTTTTACATCAGATTTCGAGACAGTTATTCTGAGTGTAATCTTGACAACGCCCACCGATTAAACCAATGGGTATCGGAAGTTAGTCGATAAACGAAGTGACTACTCGGAAAAAGATTTTTCTACCCAACGTCTCCACTTTGTCGGAAAAAAAAGTTCTGTGCATGCGCAATGACGTATGGCTAGGGTTAGGCCTAGGGATAGGGATAGTATTAGTGTTATGGATAGGATTAGGGTACCGCGCATGTTGTTTTTTTAATAGACCGACAGGGCAGTATACT